CTGCCGTGCCCTGGAGCGCCACCTCGCTGCGGAAACTGGAACTGCAGGCCATGCCTCCCAGCCTCCCCGCACCGTCCTGGGACTGTCCCCCAAAACCCCAAGGAAAACTTCAGCGCCCAGGCCTTCTGCCCGCCGGCTGCGCCCCCTGATCCCTGACGGCGCAGGGTCTGCATGGTGGGAGGGGGACAGCGCAGGGGGAAGAGGAGAAAACAAAATAGAGGCACCATCTCACCACGTCTAAATTGGGGGGCTATTTTGGTAGAAAACAGAAAAGAAATGTCTTCCGGAGGCCATAGATTCGCGCAGCCGGGTTGGGCCATCAGCTGCGGCCGATGTAAATATGTGCCTACGGAGTCACCCCTTTCCAATTAAGGTTCCCACCGAAATCCGCTCATCTGCCCAGGCAGACAGCCAGGCCCTGCCACGGAACTTGCCCCCCTTCCCCCCCCATCCCGCCCCCCCCCCCCCCCCCCCCCGCAGCCTTCGGTTCTGCTGGCAAAATAACCATAAAACGCGGCCCCTAAGCCCGTGTACACCTCGGCCCGGCCGGGCAGCCCGGGAGTCACAAACTACATGATGCGTTTTCTGCAGGTGCATCGGGGCTGGGCTGCTGGCCCTGTCTCACCCAGCTGGTCCTTAAAGCCCTAAACTAAAAATATAGACAAAATCAAACCAGCTCCACGGTGAGCCCCTGCCTCAATCTACCTGAAAACTCGCCGCCCCAGGGAGAGGGGTTGTAAGCGAAAGCAAATTCCAGAAAACAAGATTTCTCCTGCAAAGACTCTTTCGTTCTTTTATCTTTCTCTCTCCTGGAGGCCCTGTTCTTTGGAAGCTTGTTTAGACCAAGTTCATGGCCTTTGAGGCAAAGGTGCCCAACGGGAGTAAGGATTTGTATGTTTGGGGGGAGGTTGCTTTTGGAGGGGGGCAGGGGGCACACAGAATCTGTTTTGAATGTAGTTCTGACGGCGTTGGTTTTGTTGAAAGGGGCTCAGGGGATCCCCATATGATGGGCCTGAGCTGGGAACTGAGGGGCAGAGGGAGCGAGTGCGGTTCCGCCTGAGCCCACTCAGCCCCGAGGCCCTTTCTGGAAGCTCTGGAGGCCACGGAGGGAGTTCCTTCTCTCGCAACAACACGCACTGCGCTCTGCTCACAAATTACAGGGCTGAGCCCCGAAAATAGGCAGGTTGGCCTTCTGGGTGGTTGGTCTCTTGTGCATCAGGCTAGAGAGAGAGAGAGAGAGAGAGAGAGGCTTCACTTTCCTGCCAGGGACTGAATGCGACCCCTCACCCCAGCCAGCTGAGGAGGGGTGGCCGGGCCCCTGGGGGGACTGGGGCTTTGTCGCTGGAAGGGACGTTGTGTTGGGGACACGGGGTGGGGGGGGCTGCGGAGAGGTACTGGGGGTTAGAAAGTCCTGGTCCTCATCGGAGAGAAGCAGAGACAAACCCAGAAGAGAGCAGAAGCACAGAAAATGCTAAGCTTGTATCTACATGTCTCCAGTTTGGAGAAGTCTCTAAATTGGAAATGTTTCCTCTCTCTCTCTCTCTCTCTCTCTCTCTCTCCCTCCCTCCTCCTCCTCCCTGCCTTCTTTTTTATCTCCTCCACCGCCTCCTCTTCTCACATTCAGCTTCCCCCCCCAACGAATAATGCCTGGAGATGAAAAATGATTTTTATTGCTATTACACTTCCTACCGCAAGACGCAGTGCAAGGCGGCGGAGTTTGTATTACAACTATGTCACAATGTTTCATTGATGCAAAACATGTAGCCAGAGGCTGTTGCTAATGACGCCTGGATCAGAGGGAGCCGGGACTGGGAGAGGAGAGAAGCGAGAGGAGGAAGGGAGCGGAGAGGAATTTCATTAGAT